TGCTTCTCCCTCTCCCACTCCCCCTGCTTGTGTTCCCTCTCTCACTGTGTCTCTCTCTGTCAAATAAATAAATAAAATCTTTAAAAATAAATAAATAGAGTAATATACTTCTGTTCATGCATAGGAAGACTTAACATAATTAATATAAAGTCTATAATTAATACTAATATATAATAACTGTGTCTGTTCTTTCCAAAAGTATCCATTGTTACAATGCAATTTCAAATGAAAATTTCAACAGGGCTTTTTGTAGGACTTAACATTATTCTAAAATTATGTGTTATGAGAAGTAGTCCACCACTGGCCCCGAGCATCCCTGCAGTTTTTGCTGAATGTACAAGGCTTATTTGTTTCCTGATACTAAACAGTTTTGTAGTCATATAGGCACCTAAGTAGATCAAAGGAACCATAGCCTAACCACCATGTAACTACCCTCTCCTGGGAGGGGACTGGCTGGTTTGCTATCCTGTTTTGCTGCTTACTCAAAAAGAGGTAGGCCCTTGGCACTAAGTTTCTCAGTTACAATACAACCTATCTGCCTGCACAGCATCTACCTGGGGCCATTGCACTGCCTATGGGACTTGGAATAAAGAAACGAGCACAATTATGCTGATGCCATGCTATTTGTTGTGCTGTAACTGTTTTGCTCTGACTCATTAAGTCATATTGCCTACTTTGGGCACCTATGGAGAGGTAGCAGGTTTATTGCTTGCAATCCCCTATGAAGTTGGGTTTTTTCCCTGACAACATGGAAGACCAAAACAGTCAAGAATAGTCAAGATATTCCTGAAGAACAGTAAGATGAAGGGAATGTCCCTGTCACATACTGAGTTATTATGAAACTACAGTAATTGAGATAATATGGCATTGTTGCAGGAACAAACCATTATGTGCTGGTCAGGCTCCAGTCAGGAAAATGGAAACCACACTAGTTATGAACAGAGATTTTCATATTGCAAATTGTTTAAACAGGTGCTAGAGGACTAAAAAAGCAAAAAAGGAAATTAATAAATTAGCAGAGATTAATAATTAACACAGAAATTCATAATTACAGTTGGAGGTTTCAATACTGTCTCAGTAATTGTTGGAACGAACAGGCAAAAATAAGCAAGCATACACAAAATCTGAACAGCACTATGAATCAATTTGACCTGATATTTTACAACAGAATTCACATTCTTCTCAAGTATATATCAACACTCACCAAGATAGACCATATCATGTACTATAAAGCAAATCTTAAGTTAAAAAAAGAATCCTAAAAAAAGAAATCCTACAAAGTATATTCTCAGTCCCAAACAGAATTAAATTGGAAAGCAATAATAGAAAGATACCTGGAATATCCTTAAATATTTGGAAATTAAGCAAACAGCTTCTAAATAGCCCGGAAGTCAAAGAAAAAGTCTTAAAGGAAATGAAAAAATATTTTGAACTAAATGAAAAAACATCTCAAAATCTGTGGGATGAAACTAAAGCAGTAATTAAAGGGAGTTTATAGCATTAAATGCACATATTAAAAAAGATCTGGGAATCTATGAGTAAAACGTAACTCATATACAAAGGGAGGAGAAAGGCTGACATCAGACTTGTCCACAGCAGCACACATAAAGTCAAAAAATGCATCAATATCTGCAAAGTTGTAAGAAAAGTATCTCCCATGGGGCGCCTGGGTGGCTCGATTGGTTGAGCGTCTGCCTTCGGCTCAGGTCATGATCCCGGGGTCCTGGGATTGAGCCCCGCATCAGGCTCCTGGCTCAGCGGGGAGCCTGCTTCTCCCTCTCCCTCTGCCTCTCCCCCCTGCTCATGCTCTCTCTATCTCTGTCTCGAATAAATAAATAAAAAAATCTTAAAAAAAAAAATCTCTGAAGAATACTATATTTAGCCAAATTTCCCTTTAAGCAAAAAACAGTACACACTCAAGGTACAGCATAGTTCCCTATGTCAATGGTATTTTAATAATGTATGGGGACAGATGGTAGCTACCCTTGGGTAAGCATAGCATAATATATAGAGTTGTCCAATTACTATTCTGTACACATGAAACTAACGCAACATTGTGTGTCAACTATACTTCAATTAAAGAAAAAAGAAAAGAACATCTTCCACTTCAGTGATGATAGGAACATCTACCTGTCAGAGGTTGCCACTTGAAGAGAGTCTGCCTGGAAGGGAAGCCATCACAGAGGAAAGTAGAGCTGAGAGACATAGAGGAAGCAGGTCTGATGAAAACACTTGAGTAGCTGGATCCAGCCACACTTGTAGCTAATGTACCTCTGAACTTATGAGTATGAGGCAGTAAATTCCCTTTCTCACCCCAAAAAGAAAAAAGAGCAGACCTAAATTTAGAAATTATAGTACCTATAATCCCATCTTTTAAAAAAACCTAGCAAACAAGAAGTAAGGAATGGGGACATGATGGTCAAAGGGTTGGTAACCAGCAATAAATCAATTTAAACAGATTAAACTACTTCGGGATTTACGGCTAGAAAAGAGAATTCTACAAACCTTTATCATATAAAATAAAACTAAGAAAAACTGGAAACTGGTGGGAGAGGTTGGTTTTGGTTTTTTTTGTTTTTTGTTTTTTTTGCTAATATCACTTTAGATAAAGTCAGTCAACAGTCTAAAATTTAAATTTATGACTACAGAGGCAACCTGATCCAACCTCTTGAAGTATTTCATATTCTATATCCTTCATTTTGGAGGAATCATATAGGTTACTGATATACTTCTTATGAAACAGCATTTACATGAAGTTCAAAATGGAAATGTGTTTTAAAGTAACATGTAATCTAATCACATTTTTCTAAATTTTTATTTGACTATCTTTCCACTGACATAGTCTAGCCCAGCAATTAGAAGCATAGGCTCTGCAGTCAGAATGTCTAATTTTGCCTGGCTGGCTCATTTGGCAGAGCATGAACCTCTTGATCTCGGGGTTGTGAGTTCAAGCCCCAAGTTGGGCATACAGTTTACTTAAAAAAGAAGGTCTAATTTTTTTTTTCTTTTTTTAGATTTTATTTATTTATTTGAGAGTGAGAGAGAGAGTGCACAAGCAGGGGCAGCAGCAGACAGGGAGAAGCAGGTTCCCCACTAAGCAGGGAGCCAGACTCAGGGCTCGATCCCAGGATCCTGGGATCATGACCTGAGCCGAAGGCAGACACTTAACTGACTGAGCCACCCAAGTGCCCCAAGAAGGTTAATTTCAAATTCTAGTTCTGTTCACTATTCCTGTGACAAAGTATATTTTACTTAATCTCTTTTTGTGGTGGCTTCCCATGTATAAAATGGGGATGATTAAAAAAAAAGCACTTGTAAGACTGTTGAGGATTAAATGAGTTTACACATCATTTCACTGAATGGTGGTAAGTTTTTTTCTGCACAGAAAGAATTTAGGTGATTTTCTTTCTTTCAAGTTTTCTGAATCACTTGATTTTTTAAAAGTACATGGCAATTTTACAAATCTGAAAAAAACTGTTTAGCATAAACAAAACTAATATTCTCTAACTATGAAGAGAGGATACTACATGCCTTTTAAGCAAACTGGAAGTAAAAAAAAATATATGTATGTATATATTACTAACATGTAACAAAAAGTCAAAAAATGTACTAAAACTCACAAGATCTTCTAGGCTCAATATCCATAGTCACTGTCAAACCAGTCTGCAATGAGGTTATAGTTCTCAGAGTTTAACCACTAATCAACTATTTAGAATCTAAAAAAATATATGCTTCCACTTATTTGAATTTTGTATTATGAAATTAAAAGTCCAGAATCCCCAAATTATTTTATTTTAGAATTATGATTACTAGCCATTTTGCAGCAATAGATGCAGAACAATTTTGGAATAACAACATGAAGCAATTATTTCTTTGAGCTTAACTTTACCATCTTTAAAATGAGGATGATAATATCTATGGATGTAAATGTTTTAGAGCTATAATTTACAAATATTAGTTAATACTGGCCCTGTCATCAGCCATCAGTTATGAATAAATTTATTCAATTAATACTTATTGCAGCCTTACTATGTCCCTGGCATTAAGGTGGTACATCTATTATTTTTATATTGACCTCAGGCTGCTAGGTATGGATCAATTAAGTTTAAAAATCCTTGCTTTCATTCATTCATTTCATACAGTACCTAGAATGTAGTGTAGGTTCAATGAACATTTGCTGAATGAATACATACCAAGGAGAAACTTACAATCAAATTGTAATTTAAAACAATTATGGACTACTTTCTTTTTTTTTTTTTTAAAGATTTTTTATCTATTCATTTGAGAGAGAGACAGAGCACAAGCAGGAGAGAAAGTGGCAGAGGGAGAGGGAGAAACAAGCAAACTTCCCACTGAGCTCGCAGCCCAACTCGGGGCTCGATCCCAGGACCCTGGAATCATGACCTGAGCCGAAGGCAGATGCCCAACCACTGGAGCCACTCAGGCGCCCCTATGGACTACTTTTAAGATTTTTTTTTGGTTATTGTTGCTTGTTTTTTAAATCCAGTGATGCCTTTTATAAGAATAAATTCTAAATGTAATAAGGAAGGTAGCTAGATTCCACAGTCAATCCTCATTATTCATGGATTCTGTATTTGTGAATTTACTTCCCTGCTAGTAATTTGTAACTCAAAAATCAATACAGAGTGCTTTTATGGTCACTGGTGGACACGCACAGAGCAAAAAAAATTCATCTCACCTGATGTGTGTGTTCACAGCTAAGGTTAAGCAAGGTGATGCTCTGCCTTTGTGTTTTAGCTCTGTCATAAATGTCTTTTTTAGAGTCTATTTAATGCAACATTTTGTATTTTGGGGTAATTTAGCTGTTTAAAATGGCCCCAGATGTATTGTGGAAGTGTTGTCTAGTGTTCCTAAGTGCAAGACTAGGATGTTCCCAACAGAAAAAATCTGTGTTAGAAAGCTTCATCCAGGCATGACTTACAGTGCTACTTGGCCACAGGTCAAGGTTAATGAATCAACATTATATATTAGTATCTTTAAACAGAAACACATAAACACACTGAACAAGGTTATGTATTTATCAGTTGACAAAACTGTGGTGACAAGATTCTCAAAGGAATCTAACCCTGTAATTCCCCAGTAATGGTTTAGTAGTCACCAACCACAGCGACTTTATAGAACATAACTATTGTGGTAACAACTGTATGTTTCAGATTAAGTAACTATTTCAAGTTGCTGAATAAAGTTAAGGTAGAAAATCAGTGTACCATCATAGCAAAAGTACTCTAAGCTAGGCAATCAGAATAGCTTTCTAAATTAAGCACTAACTTTCTAACTCTATGAAGGTACAGCATTTAATCCATTGTGCTTTAGTTTTCTGAAGTGTGTCTGGGTGTTGTAGTGGGGAGGTCAAGGGCTGGATCACTTTCAGGGACAAATCAATTCTCCACTTCTAAAATTGTAGTAAGAGTACTCACTTTGAAGAGTTTCCATTCTTTCTTCTTGCCTATTAAAATCCTGTTGTTGGCATCCGTGTTTTGACTTAGATACAAAGAGCTTCTTGTGAGACCTAAATTGAACATAAAAGCATGGGATTGGTTCCGCAAAGAGTAGAAAAGCTATGAAAGAAGGTAGATGATTTGTCTTAATCTCTATTTTAGGACCTTCTTCTACTTTGGCCTGTTTCCTTTGGTACTCTCCTTGCTGAGTGCCCCATCTTAACCTTTGGCCTCTTAAGATTTTTGTTGTCTGACTTCCCTCTTCTCCCATCACTTATTTCCTCCATCTCATCTACTAAGAAACCAAGATTCTTTTGGACTTTTAATTAGATAGGTGAAGAAAAAAAAAATCCTCAGACGATCAACTATTGACTTTCATTCTCCCCTAGGGCTTTTAAGTTTATTTCCCAAAAGAGAAATTCCAAAATTCCTTTACACATAATGGTAGGTATCACTTATCTTTACAGCTTCCAAAGAGAGCATTTTTGAAATGAAGGCTGTTTGGAAACACAGAGTGTGGCAAAATTTTGACAACCCTGAAAGTTGGTATTATTCCCACTTTATAAAGGAGCTAGTTTAGATGAAAAAATAGTTCACCTAAGCTTAGGAAATGATTTTATCACCACCTAAAATCTGTATTTTTACCCAAGTACACAAGAAACCTAATCCGTTCCCTCCCTCCCTCCCAAAACCTATTGTGCTCTCTGGAATGCCATTCTCAACCCCTTCACCAGTTCCCCTACATCTTTGCTTTGTCTAAAATCTCCCTTAGGGAGAATATTTCTTTGTGGCCTGCTCAAGTAGACAGGCTTAATCTTCTACCTTCTACGAACCCAGGGTCCCAGAGGTGGGTCTCTATACTTTCCATTTCCTAACAAATGCCACTTTCAGGATACTGCTTCCATAAGAAGCATTAGCCCTTGAGGATTCGTCCTACTGATGTATATCACCAACTACCATACTTTAGAATCATTCACTAGCCTTGCAAGCACTTCCCATCATTCACAGATCTTTCTCTACCCCAAGTGATGATTTTATCACGTTATTTCTGTGTTCTCATGGATAACCCATATACAATCCTGACCTCTCAATTCCTCATTTCCAATGACCTCCTCCCCCACACTAAATCAAAACCTCCCACTATGGTCCCTATTCAGCATCCTAACTGCTCTAACTCTGAAATCATTCATGCAGACAGACTTTCTGCTCTCTGAACATGTTATATTGTCTGTCACAAAATTTCTAGTAGATTAAACACAGTTTTTCAAGTAATTTCATAAAATTAGAATTTGGGATGTTCACCAGAACTATAACTGCCCCCCACCCCCCCGGCAACATATCCTTATTTCTAGGACAGAATAAGAGTTTATTAAACATCTGCTTTAAGTTCAAGCACTCCCTATACGTGTATGCCAATAATGGCCTTGTGGGAACAATGTGTAACAGCCCAGGATCCCAGAGGCAGGTCTCTATAGTTTGGAATTTCAAGACACCTCAAGGTCTTGAATACCTGTTGAGATAAGCAGGCACCTATGATATTCTCAAAATCACACCATTTATACGACAGTTATAAAATATCTAGATCTGCATGAAGTGCTTCAATCAAAGATTTTAAAGATAGAGAAGAAAAGTGTCCATTTACTTCACCTCGATAAGGATACTGTACCCCCTGAGAATTCAGTTGCAGACCGTTTGTCACTAACACTTTAAAAAAAGAAAAAATATATTAAGAATGTAAACAAAAGAAACTTCACAAGGTTAGTACTTACTACATAATCAAGTCATATTGCAATTTATACAAAATATCTTTGGAAAGAAACTCTGGTAACATTAGGACATACAGAGTCTCCATTACAACATAGATAATTTTTGCACAGATGTACCTACCAGATATTGAATCAAGCTTTCACAAACATAAGTTAAGCAGAGTTAATGTTGTAATCAAGTATTCACGTCACTCTTTCAAAAACTCTCCATGGATCTTTATTTCCATGGATTCAAGTTTAATTTCTTGCCCTCCCTACCAGTCTCCAACTGAACTTTTTAACAAATCCCCCCCAACTTTGCTGAAGTTAAACTTAGCTTCCAAAAACACAGTATAACCATTTACGCCTTTGTGCCTTCACTGGAACTATTCTTCTATCCTAAAATGACATTTCCTCTTCCATCCAACTGAAAAAATCGTAACTATCCTTCAAGGGCCTGCACAATGCCCATCCCTCCTTGAAGCTTCCATCTCAGCTTCTTCAGCATTTAAGTCTATACATTTTTAACAACAAATTATATAACGTTTGCTGCTGTACCTGTTTCCTGTCTATAATTATTGCCGCAAAATAGTTTATAAGCTCTAGCAGAGCAGTTTTTATTTCATCTACCACTGATAACATGAAGGTTTCATCTTTCCTATTATTTGTCTGATTTCACAATCACACTTCTATCCTCGTTCACTTGTGTCCTGCTGATTTTTGTCCTGAAACTGGTGAATCTGATGCTTTACTTGTCCTGATTCTATTTGCCTCCAGGATGGTCTTGATATTTGCTTAGTTCTTGATCTTCATTTTTTCTCTAGTTTTAGTTTTATTCCCTGTGTCTAGTGCATTGCAAATTCTAATGTATGCCTGGTAACGAACTAAGTACCAAGGATACACAGCTAATTAAGAACCTTTAAAGGATTCTCAGTCTAGTGAGAAATACAGAAAGGTAAACAGGTATGTTACCATCCAAGATAAGTCCTTTTAAGAGATGTGACTCAATGCTGTGGGAGCACAGAAGTGACAACTGATCAGAGAGCTCAATAAAACATAGGTGATCTTTGAGCTAGACCCTGAATGGCTAGTAAGGGCCTGCCTTGGAGACAACAGAAAGAAGGGAATTCAAAATTGAAGCAAGAGACAGGCATGAAAGACCTCGTAATATTTGAGGATCAGGATGAAGTTCTGTGTTGCTAGAAAGTACCATTATGTGGGCAGGGAGAGGTTAATGCTTAGGGATAAGGTTGTATATGGAAAAAAAAAAAAAAAAAAGAACAGAAAGGGGCTATGTACGGCTTTGTAAGCCAAGCCAATAAACTCTAACTCATCTAGTAGGAAGTAATTGTACAGTACTCCAAATATCCAAATGTTAATAATCAGTAAAACATACCCTCTATAATAATTTTGTTAAAAATGGCTCACTAGCAACACTTTCACATAAAGATGTATCCATGAGACAAAAAATATATTAATGTATTTACAAACCTTTTTCCTATATCCAAATTAGCTTCGATTTCCATTTCAATAGGTTTATCTTGAGTTGTTCTTGCCCTTTTACTTTCCACTACTTTTGCTGCTGCCTTAAAACACGGGGTTGTAGAAGAGAAAGGAATCCATTAAGCCATTTTGAACAAATAGCATTAAAATTAAGCCTTCTAATTCTTTGATAGTCGTAACCAATATATCTGTTCACAGGTCAATAAAGGGACTGTGCTGTGTTTTCTCCAGTAACTATGATATCAACAGCAGCTGCTTTAGTTACCTGCTTGGTTTATAAGCCTTATGGAGAAGATCTTTCCTTGTACATGTATTTGATACATACAGTGTTTACTAGGCAATTTTTAGATAAAAGGTTATTTAAAAAGAAAAATCAATAAAAATTCCAGATAGGGGCACCTGGGTGGCTCAGTCTGTTAAGCACCTGCCTCTTGATTTCAGCTCTGGTCATGATCTCAGGGTTGTGGGATCAAGCCCTGCATTAGGCTCCAAGGTCAGCACAGAGTCTGGGATTCTCTCTCTTCCCTGCTTCTCTAAACAAACAAACTCTTTAAAAAATTAAGTAAAAAATTAAAAAAATAAAAATTCCAGGGGCGCCTGGGTGGCTCAGTTGGTTAAGTGACTGCCTTCGGCTCAGGTCATGATCCTGGAGTCCCGGGATCGAGTCCCGCATCGGGCTCCTTGCT